ACTTGTTGTCCAATCAGACATGCTTGACGTACAGTCAGGCACAGTCAGCGGTCCACTAGAAAACATCGACTGCCAAACAGGGTTACATTGATGGATTTTTCCTTCGGGGGAAGTATAAAAAAAAATACTCCCGAAATCACTTTAGAAAGTTATCTATAAAGATTTAAACAAAAAAATAATATACATGAAATGTAGAAAAAGCGTCAATTTCTAATGATCAAACACCCAACACAAATACCTAAAATGTATTTTCTCAATTTACAATGCTTCTGTTTGTTTAAGTCAGAATTTGTGTTTCAATACTCTACCTGGAAACTATTGTTCATGTTTAGTATTTTATCTATGTATTTAACATACTGCCAGCCCTGATGCCAAAGCAGGTTTCTAGGCCTTTTGAAAGGAAAAGCCCACTTAAGTATAAAATGTGTTTTTTTAAAAAAAGCACATCTCCACTATTTAGAGCATCCGTGGATGGGCAGTTCCATTCATCGATACGTTTAGCTGCCAAAGAGTCTATAAAAAGAATGCCTATCAAAGCGATGTGGCCCAGTAAATTTTTAATGTTTCGTTCTAGTTGCTATATCCGAGTTTGCATATGTAATATATTTCTGAACATTGATAAAGTAATAATTATGTAGCAGTTAGAAAATAATTTCATTCGAGTCAACATCATCCTGCATGGCACAATGAGCAAAAGATTGGCATCGTCTAAGTGGAGCTAGAGTATGAGGATCGATAGCGATTGAAAATAGATCAGAGTGCTTTACTTTGTAGGCGTGTATTTGTGTAATGTATTTGTTGATTGGATGGTTAACGTACTATACTGGGCTTGCATATTCGATCTTTCATGAAGCAGGTGACTTATATGCTGTCAATATGCGTTGTGAGCCGGCAAATTCTTACTTCAGCTAAGGTAGCCAACGCTTCTTTTAGTGATTTATTAGCAACATTTTCTATGCGTGCATTACACTTCAGATTCGAGTTTTAAAACGAACGCCTAGATACTCGTACTCCTCTGCATATTTTAAAGGAACCATGAAACGATATTGAACAGACTTTTACTGACTGCATATTGTTTATGGGATCAAAATAGAACTAGCACGCGAGATTAGGAAGGCTAAATCCTTATTTTTTGCATGAAAGTTTGGAAAACAAAATCGGATTATCTCTCACACTCTTTCCCTCGAACGCTCCCAAGAAAGCTGTGTGTATCACTGGGTGGATTAATACATGAATTGTTGCGAAACGTTTTGTAACTCGCTGTAGCTTGAGCGACCTGGCAAAGCAACCACAACATCCACAGTGTCGGACTCGTTTTCCATTTTTTTTCGAGCACGTCAGTTGGATTTATCTTCCGTATCGGATACGAGTAGTGTGTTATTCAAACTGTGCTCGCAAACGATGAAATTGACAATGAATACCCTTGACTGATATGATCGAGTTCAGTATTCGTTTGGATAAGCTGCAGCGTGAACAAAAGCGAGAAAGAATGAATGGGTGAATGCTCGGTAAATGCTGAAGGATGTACTCCTCATAACGGGCGGTAGCTCGCGCCACCTTGCGTAGAAATTAAAAATCAAAAACCAAAAACCAACAAGACGCTTGACTGACAATGGGTTTACCCTGTGTCTTCGCGAACGTCGACGACCTGTTAGTCGCGTGGTCATTCTTTAGAATAGCACGCTGAACACCTCCGTCTTCTCTTCGAACGGCTCGCCGAACATGGCACCATTATCAACGCCACGAAGGGCTATAAAAGAACTTGTTGTTGGGCTAGTTGGTGTTGACTGAATTGAACCATGGTTAAAAGCGCTAAAAAAGACGTACACAAGATAGAAGACAAACAAACTGCAAGAGGCATATTTTATCAAGAAGAGGGGACCCCAGTGCGTCAGCGACACGTCAATAGCATTGTATAACGCTGAGATTCGTTTTTTTGATAAATACATGTAAACGGTTTTATGCTCTTGTATCTCGCGCATGAGTAGCCTGGGTGACGATAAGTGTATCAGATATATATATATATATATATATATATGTATATATATGTACTTCCAGTTTCCTTTCTCAATACAGTTGTGAGTAGCGCCTGTGTTTGTCTTCTATCTTCTGTACGTCTTTTTTTAGCGCTTTTAACCATGGTTCAATTCACGAAGGGCTAGTTTGGAGCGCCCGAACTGGACTTTCTCGGCCAGAGTGTTGATAGCTCAGGCATTCGACCTCTGCCTAAAAAGTCAGCGCCATTCAAGATTTCCCGCGGCCACGTCACTGAGAAAGCTCAGCGAGTTCATTGGTGTCATCAATGTTTACAGACGCTTTATTTCGCACTGTGCCAAGCTGCTTCAACCACTTGACCTCCTCGGCAACCTCGGCAAGTGTGGACGGTTTGCTTCTTCTCTTCCGTGAGATAAAGTAGCGTAGCCGTTTCGCTACCACCACTCCCCAACCCGTCAGGACTCGCTCGTCTGCAAGTCGATTACCAGGAGCTCGAAACCCTACGTGCGCCATCGTCTCTGCAGCTGCAGGACGTCAACGTTCCAGGATACATAAGCGTCGTTTGCGATATGAAAACTGGAAAGCAGCGGCCGTTTGCCCCTGCTGTTCTACATCGAAATCTCTTCGACGCCACTCACAGCCTGTCACTCCCGGGTGTTGGGGCAACACAGAAGCTCATGACGTGCAGTTCTGTGTGGCCTCGCATCAAGACAGGCGTCCGCACTTGAGCACGCTGCTGCATTTCCTGTCAGCAGGCAAAGGTACATCGGAACCCCTTGCCCCTGACCAGGACTTATCTTCAACCCGATGCCAGGTTTGTCAAAGTTCATGTGAACCTGGTCGGGCCTCTTCTATCGTCGCAGGGACATCGGTATCTCCTCACCTGCATTGATAGATTTCCGAGAGGGCCTGAGGCGGCACCATTTGCTGGCATCATTGCCTCCACTGTCACCACTGCCTTCATCTCCACGTGGGTATCCAGATTACGATTCCCTTCCGAGATCATCACAGACCGTGGACGGCAATTCGAGTCGTCGCGCTCTCTACAGAGCTCAACCATATTCTTGGAATGACCAGACTGAGAACTACAGCTTACCATCTGCGATCCAATGGTCTTGTGGAATATTTTCACCACCATCTAAAATTGGCACTCATAGCACACAAAAATTCATAGAAGTAGGTTCTTCAAGCACCTATTGTGCTTCTTTAAATGCGCACAGCTCCCAAAGAAGACATTGGATGTCCCACCGCCGAGATAGTTTTATAAAACACCACTCATGTCGCTCTCGGCCGTTTTTAAAGCGCACAAAACAACTTCAACAAGACCTGGAGATTAAATTGACACTCCGTGATAGATCTTACAGAAACTTCGGCACCGTCCAACCCGGGCCTGTCCAACAAAATCACCTTACGTGACAGCATTTGAAAACTTCTGGACACGTTTTCGTTCGACAAAGACAGAGGAAGCCTCTACATCCACAATACAAGGGATCATTCAGAGTGATACGGCGGGAATGAACGCATTCATCATCCATATAAACAAAAAAGATGACGCAGTGTGCATACAACGCCTCAAACCAGCGCACCTAGAACGCTCATGCCTAAACGAAATCCATCAAAGAAGAAAAAATCGAAGGCAGGAACAATCAAAATCGCCCTTATCCCCCCTTAAGAAGCGGGAGGTGGAAAGGGGTGTATCTGTAGTGGCTCAGGCACACGCAGCGCACCCAACATCATCTAAAAAAAATGAAAGCTGATGCTCTGGGGGTGCATGATTCTGACGCGCCTCGAGGCAGAGAACACCAGGAATTCGTACCGGCCGGTTGTCTTTTGCACTTTCTCCACACATTACTATTCGAGACATTTCAGGAGGAGGTGATGCAGTTGTGATTTTATAGGCTGCACGTCATATCAAGTTGTTCAGCTGTTCAATAAAGTGTGCCCATCTTTACAATTTTAAAATACTGTTCCATATCTCACAGTGGAAGTACATAACTACATTCTGGTTCAAAAGCAAAATAGTCGGGGAAGTTCAGTCGATTTTCGAGAACTCCTATCTATGTGAAACATTCGTGTTTATTTAATGTCGGTGTTATTTTAGAGCGAAGCTGTTTATGGCTAGGGTTCCGCGGACTTCTCATGAGCGTCAACAAAAACTCCACGCTCGCAACGCCGCACGCGCCTTCCGCGCACGCCTCCCGCGCATAAAAGATGGGAAGTAAATAACCAAATTAAAGCGTTGACGAACGCGCGTGCAAGATGCCATTTGTTTTAGGCTTTTGCTTTAGAACGGATACTGCCGCAGCCGCAGGCACTTGCAGCGCGTGGAACAGCATTCCATTAAAGCCACTCGATGTGTGACACGTTTTTATCAAAGGGCTTTACATTCTATGCATTCTCCTTGATGCTTGGGCATTTTAGCAATAGGTCTATTCAGTAGATTATCTATCAATAGGCATATTTTTTAAGATATCAGTAGACTCTCAGGTAGATAATGGATAATTCTCAAAAATTTTCCGCTGTGCGACCGGCGTCGGACACGTCTACGCTCGCACCGTTCTTTCTTCGACGTCGTTCCATGCGCTTGCGCGCCTAGTTTCCTTGCCTTCCGCTCTCCCAGGGGTGGCGGTCTCGTCGCGAGTGTGTAGTTTCATCCATGTAATCGGGGCGGCCGACCAAGAGAACAATAAATGTGTGTGCGTGGCTTTCGTCACTGTGACCACCGATCAAGACAGTACATGTGTTCGTACCTTTGTTCAAAATTCTGTGTCACGCCTGTTTCGTGTGCTAAACAGCTTCGCAGGTCATCCATCTCCACTGAGTAGAATGGCTCATGATGGTTTTGCCTGACCCGCTATTTTCGCAGTGCATTGCTGCTATTTTGTGATTTTTCCGCTCATCCGCTATAAGTTTATGTAATAAAAATAAAAATATTGTCTGTTCCACACAGGACCAAAATCTCTTCTGAAGTGCGCGTACACCTTGGATCTCACGCTCGCAACCGGATGGACAAAGGAGAACAAGCCATTGAAGCTGAAGAGATTTGTGCCAGCAAAGGCTATCATGGAGGGGATGAGGTAGGAGTTTAAAGGATGCCAGTCGCTATTGACCACAAATCTTAGTTGTGTTGTTCGTTTTTCAGACAACATGTTTTATTTCATGACACATCACTCACAACAATAAACTTATATTTATTGTTTCGAGCTAAATCTCGTCAGATATAACTGTTTTTGTCTATCTTCGCTTTAATTTTACATACAGGATTTTCCGCACTATAGTTCGCCGACTAGACATCTTTGAAAGTTGAAATTTTACGGGGTGCTTACTATCTGCCGATTCGAAATATACGATGATTTATATTATATCGTTATTTTTATGACACGTGACGTTTCTTTTGAATGACAGAGTGTGTTATTTATAATTTATATGTGAACTAAGTTTCTTTCTTAGCTTATCAAACCGGCACGTCTAAAGGTCGGCTGTGTGTGAGAATTATGTTACGTGCGGTATATGCATCATGTACTGATTATCTGAGAAATCTTTATTTTTTTTCAATAAAATTGTCCGCAATTGACTAGGCACATGGCGCGGACTATAGCCAGAAATACACGGAACTTTAGCAACGCGTTCCGAAAGCACGTCCTTACAGGGTTTGGGTTCTTTTTATTTTTCGATGGATATAAGTATATCGTCTCTGCTTGTTCACCTTTCTCCTTGTTTTTACCTGTCGCGTTTCCCGCGATTGTTGAAACAAGTTATCGCAAACTCACGGAGACAGACACTGACAGTTGGGTTGTCTTGGGAATAAAGTGTGAACAAAAAATTGGACTGTGCTGCCTAAATTTTTACCCTTGAAGTTACTTTTGACCTGACGAGATATAGGTGACGGTAATAATTTTCTCCACTGAACTCCTTGAGATTGATTCATCGCCGTTTATTAAATTGAAAACAGCCTTCCCCGTTTAGAATGTGAATTCAGCGGAGGTAATAATAATTATCGGTTGGTAGAAGAAGGGAAGGCTTGGTTTGATGAATGTCAGTATTGCACCTATCATAAAAACAAGGAGCAAAAAAAGCTAGGACCAAAAGACGAAACGTCCGACATAGGAACGCAGGTTGGTCATCCTTGTCTTCCTTTGGTCCCACTTGTATTTTTTGTGCGCTCTGTTTTTTTTTTTTTATTTGTTTCCTCGACTATGCTCAGCCACTTTCAAAAAAGGGGTAGCTTGCCCGTTCGCAGAAATTATAACCTCAGTAATTCTTCCTCTTCATTTATTAAGATACTCCGATTTTAAATCTATTTTTTTTTTTCAGAACGACATTGCCGTTATTCGGCTTAAGAAACCGGTAAAGATGAGCGCCACCGTCAAGCCAGTTTGCCTACCACGAAGCGGAGAGGAACTTCCCGATAAAACTGAACTTTTTGCCATGGGGTGGGGACGAACAGATCGTGAGTGACACCGAATCTACTTACCTGATATTTGATATGTTATGCGTAAACGAAAAATCAATGTTTGTAAGAACGTATAAATGTCAAAAGTTACTAGATAAAAATGAGCATAAAAGAAACAGAATATATAAATATATTTTATGTGCTCTTACCTTCAGTTAAAAGTAGAGTATGGTGAGCAAACTATCCTCAAGGGACGCCATGAAGCGTTATTTAATCTGCACTGATTTTAAAAGCAGTAGCTTACAACCGGATACGGAACAGTTAAAGCTGAAAACACTCCTTCATGTTGGAGACCCAGGAGAGTTTACTCTACGAATGAACAACACAGAGACGATTTTTGCCTTTTGTGTTTTAATCAGTCAATTGAATTTTGGATCTCCGAAGTTAACATGTAACACCTTCCGTGCCTTCAAACTTAAGCCTTAAAGTACACCTGTGGCCGGGTAGACAATATTTGAGCCGGTGTTTTTTCGCGCACAGGACGTAAACAACAAAAAAAAAAGAAGTTGAAGTATCACTCTTTTAAAGACAGCCCAAGACAATCTACAGCGAATCGATAAAGCGCTATCTGAGTTTCCGAAAAATACGATGAGAAGAGTCATAATGGACCTCTTACACCAAACTTTGGAGAAAAATAGTTATTCTATAAAGCCATGTCTTTCTTTGAAGATTCGAGGTAATGCTCTAACCGACTTCATATTTCAGACGCTGGTTCAAAGAAGCCCGTGTACATGAAGCAGATGTCAACAAAGTCAATTGCCAACAATCGTTGCCTAGATTATTTCAACAAGACGGCTGACCCAAGAATCCTCTGCACTTCAACCGATGTAGCCTCTACTTCCCACGTACGTATATTGATTCAATACCGGACCAGCCCAGAAGCTTCCCATTAGAACGAATACGTAAAGCGCTCGTTATATACTACTAAAAGTCGATGGCGCGCCTATTATTCCATCATTGTATGCTCGGGAATCTATTAAACGTTTACAGACCCGACGCACACTTAAGGAAGCAGGTGAATCATTCCACGCCGGAGTTCCGTCTTCAATCCCTCGCGAAGGAGTATCTTAGTTAATAAATTCTGAAACTCTTTCATAAAAGTTGTTGGATAGAACGGATGTCACACTGAATAGTACTAACTATAATTTTCTCCCACTTCAGTTAAGTTTGCTTTTTTGCTTCTTCGTTTCTTTCCCTGTAATCTTATCACATATCTTTTTTTTAATGTTAAGGTGAGCTATACTTCTTTAAGCTTAAGTCCAGAAACTGCGTAACCCAATGTACTTCGTTTCAACTTAAGTCCATCTTACTCTACGAGCTAATGAGAACAACTAACAATGTCAAAAGTGCACCATCTTGGCGTTCTTCATATTTCTGTGCATTTACCATCAACGTTGAACAAAATCATAAACTGAAAAGGCCAAGTGATTCGCACTTTTGACGCTCCTTGAATTGTCTCATTACCTAGGTGGTAGCGTCGGCTGCATCTGGACTTAAAATGAACAACGTATTTACAGTGGGTTAAGCATCATTTTATGCACTTGTTTGTCCTTCGTGGTGTTTATGTTTAATATATTGTTTATCCTTCCAATTTGTCTATTGTTTTTGCTTTAATACGTTCTCAATTTTGAAGGGTATGAAGCAACGAAGATTGCCATTAGAAATTCAAGGATAGTAAGATTTTGATCCAGTGTATTTCATTGTTAAGAATTCTTCCTCGTGGCTAGTAGTAAACAATGATTCAACTCGAAGCGTTCGGCAAAACGCCAACAATGCTACGTCAGATAGTATCATACTTTTACAATAGCTTTTACGATGGTAGCAATGAACCAAGTCATGGTTCCTTGAAACCATGACTATGGTTTCAAGGATTGAGGCTCCCATTGGCTCTAGCGTGGCGTGGTTCCAAGAAACACTACCAGAGAAGCCTTTCCCGTGGCGGTGCAGCGCACACAGCGGCCCGGCCGCCGTTAAGATGTGCGGTCCTGGTCGCAGAGCCCGCATGGGCGAACTACGGAGAGGCTGCACGGCCGAGCTCAGCGCGGCGAGGCCACTTCACGAGAGCGCGCGCTCGGCCGTCGGCCGCTACCTCGGCAGTAGCGAAACGGGGCCATCCAGGCCACTACGCCGCAGACGAACTAAGGAAGCAGAAGAACGACATTCATGCTTTTACAAGACACAACTCATAAGAAGTGTTTAGGTGTCTTTGGAACATTTTTTTTTTTCTTTTATACGTTCGGATTATCCTAGACGCCGGGAGAAAAATAACATGGCTCAGAAGCAACCAAAATACTCGTGCGTTATTGACATGAGCGTCATAGAATGCCAGATTGTCGTGTTTTCTCCCTCGCGTGTCACGTTACGTAAATAAATATTTTGTTAAAAGACGCAAACACGGATTGCTATAATTCGGCTCGCATGGAGCTAACAAAGCATACCAATAAAATTAGAGCTTACCTTGACATAGTAGTCGGTGCCAAATGGGGTGTACGTCCCGAAGCGAAAAGTCGCGCTGAATTTTGCGCCAAGTTTGGCTAGGGGCTAAACACGTCAACCTTAAGTCCACATTCATTTTGTCCAGAACATTCTCGCTGATAGCTCTCGGTTTTTACACAAGCGAAGTGTACAGGTGACGGCACCTCTGTGTGAAGTTTCGAAGCGAAAAGTCGCGCTGAATTTAGCGCCAAGTTTGGCTGGGGGCTAAACACGTCAACCTTAAGTCCACATTAATTTTGTCCGGAACATTCTTGCCGATAGCTCTTGGTTTTTACACAAGCGAAGTGTACAGGTGACGGCACCTCTGTGTGAAGTTTCAAGGTACTCTAATTGTTTGTCCAGGAAGTCAATGTCAGTAAACACAAACTGCTGCATTTTGGCCCGAGCCTCATTTTACCCCACTTTATGTTACCTTATTCAAAGCGTAAAAACACATACTCGACAGGATATGTTTTTTACACAGTTTGCTTGTTCTTTAGTGTAAACAACAGGTGCTTCACCTTTAGAAATCTCCATTGGTTTTTATATGTAATCGAGAAGGATAAAAGGAAACATTAATTACTGATTATTCATTCGTGTCAAGCAGAATTGTCGAAGGATTTGTAGTTGGGCAAGTCGGTATCTCTTAAATTTGAAAAGTGCCTACAAAATCAAGAACAACGGGAAGAATTTTTTCCAACTCTTTCTGCAGTTCTTGTTTCATTTCCGCTTTATGAATTGAATAATTGCCCTGTCCTGCGACTACACTCCTTTAATCGTACATTCACTGAGGCTGAAAACTTGTATTCCGACGAAAATCAAAGCCAAGTTACTATTTATCTTTGATATGATTATATAAGCCCTTGTGAAAAACAAACTTGACAAAATATGAAAAGAGCGATATCGGTTTCCTTGCATCCTGGGGGCGCTGAATACGCGCAGGAATCAAGTTTGCTGCTGGATTTGTCATCACTGTTTTGCAAAATAAAATCTTGTAAGTTTATATATCACCTGTCGCGTGGGGCTGTACAACACTAGAGCGCACGACACTTGAGCGCTGATATTAGAGCGCCGACAGTAGAGCGCCACGACGTTAGCGCGCGCGACACTAGAGCGCCGGACGTTAGAGCGCGCGACTCGAGAGCGCGGCGACGTTAGCGCGCGCGGAGGTCGCATCGCATTACGGGGAAGATTATGGGAAGGCGCTCGCTGCGGGAGCTAGTGAACAGCTGAGAACATGGCGGCGGCCAACCTCGTCGGCGGCGCGGAGAGCGGTCCCGTATGGTCGTCCGCAATTTTTTCCCGAGAACAAACGCGAGCTTTTATTGCCATAAGTAAGCGGAACATAGCGGAGCTGCTCGATGAGGGCGGCATCGTCCAAGCCTTGCGAAGTACGACTTGCGTGTCCGAAGGAGTCCCTAAGGCTTCGGCGCAAGCACGAATGACACCGAGAGCTCCGAGCACTGTAGATCACTGCATGGTAGAGCAGAACAAACAGCTCCTACCTCGGTGCCGTTCCTGGCTGCGCAGGAGCCTTTCGGACTCGGGGTCCGGTTGGTCCGGTCGCGGCGAGGTCTGGCGCGGCGAAGCGCGGAGGCTGCGGAAGCTTCTTCAAAGCGAGTGCACACACGTCGCCTTTGGTCCAGAGTGACCCGGCGGCCCGGCCTCGAGCCCGAAACGCCTGGGTTTTGATGTCTCTTCCGTCTCGTAACTTTTTCCACAGCACTGAAGACAGCGGGCACGATCTTTACGTTCACTGAACACGTCGAAAGACCTCCAGTGCGATGCACCGGAAAACGTGGTGCGGCTGGCGCCGGAACTGCATAACTTCGAGCTTTGACACGGCGTGGCGCCACCTTCGTGTATTTATTTATTTATTTAGTACATACTGCGGACCTTTCGGGGTCCAAGCAGGGTGGGCGGCAAACATAAATAACGCTACAAAAAACAATGGTTGCACATAAAACAAGAAAGCAATGGTGGAAAAATTGCTGCGCAGTAATACAAGGTATACAAAATACACATATATCAAAATCTAGTAAATCAGAAAGTTATAACAATGACCCATCAAAATATACTCCGTGCGCATTCATGTAAACGTTTCCGCGTCGGCTTCCTTTGATGAACGAGTGAAGTCGATGCGCTGAAGTCGCTTTCATGTAGGCGAGGCCATATATGCGGTGCTTGCACTCGTCGCGACTGTTGATGGATCTGCACTGCGCCACCAACCCGTACTGCTAAAGCGCCGTTACCTGCAACCGAGTAGGAACAAGGCTCGTCGCCCGTACGGACCGCTTCTCCGCTTGTCGGTCGCCATGTTCGCTTTTTTTTCTTTCGGCTTTGGCTCGGATACGGAATCGGCCAAAAATCAGACTCCTCCAAAAGCTCGCTCCTCCTCGAAGGTCCGACGTCATAGCGAAGTCAAGCGGCCATTGGCGGCGTCCGCGTTTCTCCTTCGGGTGATTGACAGGCCTCGGTGAGGTTTCAGCGAAAAATTTATCCAGAAACGAGGACCACGCGCCACTTATTTCGAAGGCGCGCCACTTTTTCGGTCGCGTTCAGACGGGGAATCTGTTTCCCGAAACCTAGTTTCGCGACAAGATTCGCCAACAAGGTGCATCGTGTGAATAGACCTTTAGAGCGCCCGTCACGAGAGCACAAAACCACTCTAGCGCGAGTGGCCAGACCAGACCGACCACTTCTTCGGGCTTCGCGTGTTTTAAGTACAATTGGCAGGGATGTATGCCGCGGAATTTAGCAATGACATTGCGAAATGAGTCGACGAAATGTTTGCATGTGACAAACCAAAATGTGTTACAAAACGCGAACAGAAAAAAAAAGAATATCTGTAGCTTGCATTTTTCCAGAAAGAAAAAAAAAAAAAAGCACTGCCGGTGACCTAGCCAAGGTCAGCTGCCATGTTTTTCTCTAATTTTTAAACGTTTTCTCTAACGTTTTCTAAATCAAAGAACTAATGAAGGCTTCAATAGTTCTTTGATTTTGTATATCACAGATTTTCAAGGGAGGTTTTCATGTATCCGTTAAAAGGCTAGAAAGATCGGCATGCGATAAAATTGCGCTGAGCTTCCCTTAGATGAGTTTTTTACAGATAGTTTTTAGCGGTGGGGGGGGGGGGGGGGATCTTTCTTCATTACGGACATCGACGTCAGATTACCATTTAAGCTTATGCGAGGGGTGTCTAAATAGCCACCAAATAGATTGGAGTCCAAATGCCTGTCAAGAATAGACAAAATATTGCAATAAGTAAATTATATATAGAATATCCGAGAGGCGCACCGCAGCGCTGTGAAGAAATCTTAAACTCGCTGCTCCACTCAAATGCAACCTTTCCCTGTACCAATATGCCTCAGCCCGCTCCCCTGCCCCCTTTTCTCTCCAATCTCAATAAACAATTGGTTAGAAAGAGTCGTACCCTTTTCATTTTCATGAAAGGCATAATTAATGAATAAAAAATCACCAATGCTTCAATCCGATGAGTCGCACAATTTTGTTCTGTCTGTGGAGCCGCGGGTACATCACACATGTTTCGATGTTTGCTCAAATGGGGTGCGCTCTTGTGTCGCGCGCTCAACCGGTCGTGCGCCCTCGTGTCGTGCGCGCAACTGGTCATGCGCTCTCGTGTCTTGCGCTCTTGTGTCAAGCGCGCTACTGTCGCAGCGCGCTCGTGTCGTGCGCTCTAACGTCGGTGCTCTAGTGTCGCGCGCTCTAAAGGCGCTCTCCCGTCGCATGGTACATTTTATAACTGAGCGAATGCACTCTGGTTTCAACTCTGGAGGGCTGAAAGAATTAATTACGTCCCTAAGTAAGTTTTAAGGTTTATACAGCTGATGTTTAATTGGTCAGTTTATTGCACTGGACCAGTATGAAATTTTATTACTCCAATTCACAAAAGGCATTCTAATCTCAACAATAATACTTTCTATATTCTCTTCAGTTGTCTGTGATTCGGGAGTGATTGGTCCTTTTCTTTAAGGTGCAGACACTACGGACAGGAATGTTGATGTCGAGGCGTTGATAATTTCCAAGTTCGAGCTGGTGACTTTATTCATTCACACAAATCTGTGAATTTAGGTTCCTTAATAATCTGTAACGTGTGTCAAACAGAACACCTAAAGTGTAACGCGTTTCGTAATGTCCCAGCTCAGCGCATTGTTTAAATTGTGTTTTTAAAACAACATTCATCTTCCGATGCAGGGAGACAGCGGAGGTCCGGTTGTGGGGCTCGGAAACGGAACGACCTGGACACTCTACGGCATCGTCTCTGATGGCCCACACCTTGGAGGCTTTGAGCACCTTCCCCTGATTAATACAAAAGTTTCTCATTTTATTACCGATTTTATTAGTGCTTACCTAAACTCACGAGGAAAGTCCGAGAAAAAGAAAATCTGCGATCTAGCTTAATATTTATAGCCGATACATTTGGTAAATTTTTGTATCATAACTCTGTTTAAGTTACTGTATATGACATGTCGGTGAATCTTTGGAGTCAGTGCCAATAAAACAATACCAAATTCAGAAATTCTGAATGTATAAGAGTTGTACCTGATTAGAAACATTTAACAGAAGACGCCACCCGTATAAATAACACAACGGCTTTGTTTTTTTCTGCTAAGATGGAATAACACATTTTGAAATTTGCCTCTTTGTGCTACGCAGAGGTGTAAGGTGGATAGCTTTATTGACTATAAAGATGTTGCTAACACTTTCGTGCTACGTTGTGTATATTAAAAATATCATTAGTAAGGTGCTGCTGAAAAAACACTTTGAAACGTTCTTTTAGGTAAGATTTGATTATTAAAGTACTTTAGAAGGGCGTTGTTTTAGGGATTGTCCATCTAAGTTCTGCGAGTCTTTCGCCGTGTATCTGCATAAAATCTGGATATCCTTCATTAAGGAACACCTTAAACGAACGCACAATGTATTGAAAGACACCTGCAGGCAAAAGTATTAACTACTAATTTAGTTACCACTCGAAGAAGGAATTCATTGACCCCACCCTTTGGAAAATGGTGGATATTCATTAGATTCTAACACCAGACTCACCTCCGTCTAATGCCTTAAACTCACCAAACTCTCCAATTGCACAATATTATGTGAGCACGCATTTAGCCGTAGATAGTAATATAAGGAATATAACGACAACTTTAACGAATGTTTCAGATAACGCTTGAGGAAAAAAGATACATGCAGTGACGGCACGGTGCTCCCATTCTGTCCAATAAGCCGGATGATGATTCAACGAAAGCAGTAACATCTGGAAACCACGCCTTGTGAGAAGGCATCTTTTTTCCCGTGAGAGGAAGAACCAGTGAAAGAAATCTTATCGATTTATCTCTAGGCACTGCAGGTGCCCCACGTGTTCCTTCGAACGGTATCTTGAGAGACGAGGTCTATTTGAACAGGCTCCATTTTTTCTTAGGACTTTTACTAACGCACGGGCAGGAGGACGCCGCATTTTTGGAAACCAGTCGCCATGAAGCGATTCATTGTTTTATCCCTCTTGCTGGTGCCCACCCTGTCAAAATACCAAGGTAAGTTTTGCAAAATAATTATTTGGACATATTTTCTAATTTCCAGCTTGAACAGTTTTATGCGTTTAATTGTTTAATAGTAGTTATTTCTTTACCTATGATTTTAATTTGGCGTTTATAAGCTTTGCTCGTGTTCAAATTAGCTCCCAATACTGCGTGAGTGCAATTTAGTTTCTTGTCCTTGGCTCCGAAAATTCCTGAATTTATACCCAAGTTATATTGTATGACGTGGCGCTCATTCCGCTATAAGAACACTGAAAAAGGTAGGAAGAGGAACGCTGTGACGTTAAAGAAAAATCAAATCCTTGTCCTGGTTGATAAAAAATTTACCTATAGTTTAAACTTCATTGCTAAAAAAGGATCAATCAAGGGCTACACAGTCCAGGGGCCGCTTTAATGACAACCATTTCAGATAGGGGTACCTCAAGGTAGCGTTTTAGGGTTATTGCAATTTAATCGGTTATTAATGATATAGTCACTCTGAAAAGTAATACCTCATTTTTAATTTATGCTGTTGATAGTATACCCAAGCAGCACCAGAAAGTGAATTTCGATCGGCCGACGGTTGGCCAGTGTCTGGACAGCTTGGCCACTTTAAGTGCTTGGCCACCGGAGACATAAACAAGGCCGGCAAGGGTCCGGCCACAAACTAGCTGTTTTTAGCTTGTCCGCCGGAGACATAAACACTGCCGGCAAGCGCCTGGCCAGAAGTGCTCATTTTCAGCTTGGCCGCCGGAGACATAAACACGGCCGGCGAGTGTTTGGCCAGCAGTGGTAATTTTCAGCTTGGCCGCCAAGGACATAAACACGGCCGGCAAGTGTTTGGCCACAAGTGCTGATTTTCAGCTTGGCCGCCGGAGACATAAACACGGCCAGCAAGTGTTTGGCCAGCAGTGCTGATTTCCACCTTGGCCGCCGGAAACATAAACACGGCCGGCGAGTGTTTGGCCAGAAGTGCTGATTCTCAGCTTGGCCGCCGTGGACATAAACATGGCCGACAAGTGTTCTGCCAAAAGTGCTGATTTTCAGTTTCGCCGCAGGGACACCGATAATCTAAACGTTCATCGCGTTGACGAAACTTTGGCATAACGACGGGCAGCGAGAGAAGCATCACGAGTGAGTGATTGGCAGAATATTAGTGCGTGCATCGCGCGAACACTGTTAGCGCAAGCAAACGATCACCGTTTTATTCAGTTTTTTTTTTTCGTTAGACTTGAAAGGCTATTGTCTTAACTAGCAGTGTCGTGTGATATGTTCATTTGGAACATTATACTAGAAGTGGGAAAATATTGTGCCAGTCGCTGTTCTATGAAAATAAAATACGAAAGCAGCGCTGACGTCATCTTCGCGTTAACTATACCGCTCTGTCGCCGCGCGGCACTCCTAGCGCGAATGCCACATTCGCGATCTTTCCGTTACTGCTCCACATATTTACATCCCAACTGCACTCGAAGAAAAAAAAGTTGTAGTCGGGTGCATCGGGCGCAGATGCTCCCCTTTCCTGGAAGACGCACCCACCGTTACCCAGCCAGTGTACCTGTATACCGACCATAAGCCCCCTTCTCTACCTTAAAAACCTATAGGTGTATCAATGCACTCGGCTTAGTAAACCGCCACGCTAGCCATGCACCCCGATCAGCTTGTGCTTGAATCGGATAAGATTGGATATTTCAGACTTTGTGTTTTGGAAGAGCCTAAACAAGACGTCTCTCATATATTGATTAAACTTAAGCTAGTCTCAGTAATGTTTTAATTAGGTGCTAGGATACTGATTTCCTGAGCCAAGGAAAGCTAACAGCTTCGGTTAAAACCGCAACGGAAACGTTCAAAATCGAGCCACACGTAAAAGAAGAAGAAAATGAACATCTCGACCTAGATGTGCAGAACGCTGGTTTTGTTGTTAACAATTTGTTGTTAATCGTGGTGATTGACGCCAGTGATGCTCGGCCGTACAACACAGTAGAAGTTTTTACACCTTGAAGGGTGTAAAAGGGGTGTTGTAGCAACTTACACCCTCGGCTACACCTTTTTAACAACCTAAAACTAGGAACACAACCTCATAATGTTACCGAAAAAGGTGCTGTTTCGTGTTACACCCTACATTTAGTGAAGAATGTGAGAAGGGTGTAGAAGAGGGTGCTAAATAAATAATGTGAAATGGTTTTGGAAAGCTTATATATGGCTCTGTACTTAATGTACAGGTAAAATTTCTGCTTGAAAAGCAACAGTTGTTAGCAGTCTAGTTTCTTATAATGTCAGTTGTAATTCATGCAAATAGCTCATAATTTAGTGCCTCTTTTGCATACAATTTTTATGTTTGAGAACAAAATTTTATATATGAGTTCATATTTAATTTTCTTACAAATCACTCCATGCTCAGAAATAGGAAAGTAGGGTGAAATGCTCTATACTAGCATTTTTTACAAATATTGATTGATGGAAGTGTACAGTAAGAAAATCAGTTAGTCTCGAGTTTATATCTGGCAACATGAAATCAAAATATTGTGAAAATGTTTGACAAATATTCATGACATGCTGCTAGAACCTGTCTCATGACCATGTCAACCCGAGTAAAATATTCCTTTGAGAATATGGTGACATGCACAAAAACTCACACACATAAAGAGGCAAATCCCATAATAAACCAGTCCGAGACATCCCATAAAAAATGGCCTATGGTCGTCTATGGTAAATTCAATGGGAGGCTATCACCCCCGGTAGCTTCGCATGGTCGGCCTTAAAAATTTATAGATACAGCTACAGCCAGCTATAGAAAAGTTTAGGGCCCTGTGTCTAAAGTCTCAGGGCTATGTTTCAATAACAACAATAACAACAATAATAATAATAATAATAATCAATAAGTTAGTGTTTTAACAGTTTCCAGGGACATCCAATTGTTCTTCTTGCGGGCACAGTGCAATAGAACGAACAAACAGACGCTTGCGCGCTCGCAGTCGCACACATACACGCGCGCACGCACGTACACACGCATGCACACGCGCAAACCCACGCCCGCGCGCAGATGCACACGCACGCACAACCAGAAACGCACACGTGCATGCACGCGGACGCATCCACACGCGTGCGCACAAACACACGCACGCGCATGCACACACGCACACGCAAACAATTACGACGAAGGAAACGTTGCTTGAGTTAGTTTCGGTTTCGGTTTACACAAAAAAGAAACAACCTAAAGTTTAAATAAAACCTAAGATTTACTCACTTTTGTAATGTTTTACATTATTATTTTAGTGACATTCTTATTGTTACTAATATAATTTATTTTGCTTAGTATAGTTCTAAAAAAAATAACAATAAATAAAAAGGAAAAGAGACTCTTGAAGACTGCGCAAGACCATCGCTATCGCAATCAGCTTCCGTTGGGCTCGTTTGAATGGTCGTTGAAGTTCCAGAAGCTTCGGAAATCTCCTTTTTTTTACGTTTTAGCCGTTTTAGTGGATATTTTAAATATCTTCCTTACAAACACCGTCTTGAAGAATAACAATCGATGACTGAGAGCTGGGAGACGCTGCGTCTTGGCAACGCCCGTAAGTTCAGAACCGCCCATGCACGACTCGTGAAACGCCGGTTAGCAACTTTCTTTTGTTTCTGCGAAGTGGGCTGCTGTTTCAAACTTTGTCGTGTAGCGTGTGCTTGCTAAGCTATGCTTGATTCTAACTATGCTTCTGCCCTGTGTTATTTCGTTATTTGAAAAGAGCGTATCTTCTTCAAAACCTGTGGCTCGCTCCGCAGTGTGAGAAAGATTCCCGCGCGGCGGAACCTTGGGCATGTTCTTTGCGCCGTTGTGCGGCGCTCGTCCGACGACGCTTGTGCGGAGCGTTCAAGTGCCGTCTGACGGCAGTTCAAGCATTCAGTCGCCGTCCCAAAGTGTTAATCAC